CATAAAAACAGTATGGCGATCAGAGGAAGGGGGAGGGGAAATTTTCCAGTCTTATCGGTTGTTGCTGTTGAAAATGTGTGTAGTAGCAGCAAGTGCCGCCCCTTGGGTTTTTCCCAAGTCCGCGTATTTGCATTATTGCCAGCTCTTCTCTCTTTTTCTTGGCATCGGGGAATTACCTATAATGACGGTCACTCCCGCTGATGGATGGCTTCCTCTCAATGGAAATTTCATGATCATTAAGCACCGAAGTTCTGCTTAAATGGGAAAATTAAATTTGACATTACCCAGGGAGTTTGAAAGAAAATATCTTAACAAATACCACTGCTACTTTGAATGGAATCAAAGCTAAGTTTTCCACACAAATACTTTGGACTTCAATCATTTATTTGTCTACTCGCCCTCCTTGTTTACCGATTTTACAAAGAAAATCGAAACTGAATAATAATAAAATAAGTCCGAATTTTATATTTAACTTAAGTTATATGCATTTCTTTGTCCCCGCTACTTTTGCTTTCTTTGATTCCTATTATTTGCCTGTTCAACTTTTTTATTACACTTTTAGAAAGTTTCGAATTGGGGCGATGAAATTAAATTCATTCCACAGAAGTTGTACATTTCTTAGAAATGCTCCTTTTCATTTCTCAAATAGACTTAAACTTTTACACGAAATTAAATGTAGAAATGATTTTCTTCTGATTGTGATTTTACAGGATACTGAACCCATTTTTCTCCCTGTGCACTCATTCATTCACTTTAGTGCTTTTGCCTCTTGTTCTCATTGTCGTCGTTATTTGTTGTTGGACTTGTAAGTAGCTCAAACAGGCGAAATGGGCGAAAGTGGGCGGGGCATAACGACATCGTTCAAGTTGAAGGACATAACTGAATTTCGGTCGCTGTAGTTCTGGCTTCTGCCTTATGAAATTCGAATTGCAAATGGCCAACAACGTACAATGAACAACGAACAGCGAATGGCAAGAATTCGTAATGACTCCGCTGGCTCTGCTTTACGGAGCGTAAAAACTAATTAATTACACGTGCAAATTGTGATAAATTCCATTTGCTGGACTCCACTCCATTCACTCTAATTATTCAGTTTTATGGCGTTTGCTATTTCATAACATCGTTTACATATTCAACAATGTGTGGGAGGCCTTTCTGCTTTTCTGGTATTCCTCTTATTCAGATTGCATCGATTTCTTGTTGGTGCAGGCTCTCTGGCGATGATAATTCTCTGGTGACCACAACAAGTGTCCTTGCGCCACTTTCGCCCACCGGCAGCCTGTGCAGTGCACTGCTCATCTCGTTTTGGAGCATCTTCTATTTATATTCAGTGGCCCCCGGCGGCATTCCCACCCACTTAACCCCCTTCTTAGAATGCACTCTATAAACAAACAGCATTATGCGCTGTTTGTTATTTTTAATCACTCGACATAGACGCACTTGTCCGAGGTCTTAATTTGAATCGCACGAGAATGATTCATTGAGGGGAAGGTGGAAAACAGTGCTGAGAAATCAAATAATGTATAAAAGAATCATGCTCATAGCTTATTTCTTAAAGAATTGACTAAGACAAAAAACCTCTAAAGTATACCCGAAGACCGCTATATTTGTATAATTAATTCCTTCGATGTACTGCCATCAGCTCTCGAAGATTATTAAGACATCTGCCGACACTAATCGTCACACTCACTTTGATCTCACCCAATGGCCTGCAATTTGAATTCATTTGAACTTGAGAGCCGAACAAGAGGGTGCCAAGTCCTTATAATTAATGCCTGCATTTGAACTTGACCCAAAAAATGGTTGAATCATTTTCAGGCGAAAGCAGCTTCTTCTGTGGGGGAGTCTGCCAAGCTGGCTTCGAGGGAAATTGCCCTGTCTTAAATTGCGAAACTCTAAACCGTTTGTCTGTGTGATTTATGGGCTGAGCAGCAGTTCTAAATGGGTCAATTGGTATGTGCTGTGAGTATTACAAGAATTTATGCGCTTCAAGAACTCGGAGGATTTCTGTTATTTGTTAAGGTAAATGTGAACAATGGGGTGATTTATTATTGAGTTAAATTCTTTAAATAAACAAATAATTCATCACTTGATACTTACGAGCAGCACAGACTTCGAATGCAATTAGAGCCTTAATTTCGTTGTTATTTTCCAGGTATTACTGACAACCATTTCCTATTCAGATAATACGTTGTTATGTCTATATTTTTGTATATGGTGTCTAAAATAAACAATCATATTGAAATCAACATTTTCCCTGCCTTTCTAAAACAAATCATTGAAAGTGGATTTTTTGAAGAATCAGCAATGTTTACTTTGCTGGTTTTTCTGGTTAAATGCAATTGGTTTTGCATTTCAGACACACAATGTTTGTATACACAAATTTTGCCATGTTTATGCTAGAGTTATTTCATAAAATAACCAAAAATAGCTTTCGTAGAACAAAGTCCACTTTCACTAATAAGTTTTCTTTAGAAAATTAAACTTTAATCAGAAACTAAATGCTTAGAAAGTTTTTCGTTTGAAATTTTAAGCATAAAGCCTTTTCCTGTACAAACTACTAATGTGTTAGCTGTATCCTATATGTTTCGCTCTTGCCAAGTGCCTATTTTCTTTTATGCAAACACTTTTGACCCAGTTATGCGACTCCTTTCACTCTCTGCCAGCGGAAAATTCCATCTGGCTGAAACAAACTTAGACAGCTACGCCATCTAGCATCTAGCTGGCTTTTCCTTCGCCAGTCTGTTTTCCACTCCCTCCGTTTCCATCACTCAAATTGCAACTACTCTAAGTTTTTGAGCTGCGAGTCGCTTCTGTTTTCCTTTGATATCAAATGCATTCACGTTTAGTTTAGTAATTAAAACTGTAATTTCACATAGATACTCGTTGGGTGGCTAAAAGGGGGGAGTCATTAGCATGCAAATGTATGCGTGACGGGTGGAAAGCCCAACCAAGGTAACCTCAACTCTCCCTCCCACACACATACACACACATACGCAAACCCCTCATAAAAGGACTCGCAAACGGAGCCTGCTTCTGTTTGATAAGTGGGAAAGTGTAAAAATTTCGTTGCATACTTGTGAGCGCCGAAATGAAATTGCGGTTGTGACAGCTGGCACGAAAATTTTGCATATGTATTGTAGAAGCGAATATAAATGTGAATTTAATTGTGCCACCCACACACACACATAAGCACGCACGCAGGACAATATAACTGTGGTCATAACAATAGTTGGAGCGTTTAAGATTCCTTAAATGTTATGTAAGCACGTGCGGTAAATAAAAAAGGAACCATTTATTATTTTTGAGCATGGTTTATTTTCATAAAAATATTATAATGCTTCTCCTAGAAGAAATAACAATTTATAAACAATATTTTTTCTTCCCTCAACAATTGTCAGTACATTTAATCTTTCATAAACTTATATTTCTTGTCATTACTGTACCAGCACGCACATCCTTAAAGTGAAGTGTTAAAACCACTTGAAGGCGGAGGCGTTTGCGAATTGCGGCCGTCAGTCAATCAGAGAGATGGCGTCGCCTGTCGCCGACTTGCCAAGAAACTTGGGACAGCCCTGCGGCTTTTATAATAATTTCAAGTGTTTTTAGTTGTACGAGATATATGTATCAAGAGTGCGCCGCACTCAGTACGACTATATATATATTTAGTATGCGGGCCCATTGAAGTATCTGTATCTGTATCTGTGTAACGCCCTGTCGCCTGCCGGTCGAGTTTCGGGCTTAGTCGCCTGCGCCTTCGCCTTTGCTCGCTTCCTTCCTGGCCGACTTCCTGTCACGCTTGAGGGGGCGGAAGGGGGCGTTCCTTGCGATTGCTATATAAACATTACCCCGATCCCTCGATCCCAGCGCAGTGTTTGCCATTTCAGTGTTTTATTCGAGACGACGTGCAGGAAATTTGAGCAACTTTAGGATGAGCAAAAAAAAAAAACAGAAAAAAAAGTAACAGCAGGAAAGAAAATCCATTTACGTAATTACTTTGAGTTAACTTTCGCCCTCGCTGCAGAAAGATGCGCGCCAAGCGGCCCTTTTCCTTATTGAATTATTGAAGAATTGCTTATTCGCTCATTGGAAATCTGTTGCCCCTCCTGCCTGCATCGCCACTAGTTGAGTTACAGCCAACATAATTGGATGAAACGGGGTCGGGCACTCAACCCATATCGATTACATTACTGCCGAAAGTTTTCTCATTTTCATAGCCCTCCGACAAGCGTTAATTATATTTGACCAGCCGTACTTTTTACGAGGGTTTCATCGGCGAACGTGTTGCATTTAATTATTCTAATTTATGGTTCGCAGAATATCCATCATCGAAGTCGGTTATTATTAGCAGCCCAAATCTATGTTCATAAACAATCTTTCGGTGTGGTGGTTGTCGTTTAGCTGAGTTGGGTAAAAAATGGGAAATTAATGGCCTTCAAGCGTTTCCTGCGAAAGAAACTCATTAGGGGCACATATAAATTTCTTGCAAACGGAGGTCACAGCCGAAATAATTTTATTACAATTTATTTTCGCTTTGAGGGCACTAAATCATTGTTGGTTAGGCCACTTTGTTGCTCCTGTTGTTTAATAATAATTTATGGCAGTTTGAAGTTTTCCAGGCATATTTAGCAAAATACTATAAAATAATAAGTGACTTGGTGAATTAAAAATCTATCCCACTTGCTCTGCAAATTACGTATATCTTTGTCTTACACCCAAAACCAATCAGCTTATATAATTTCAATTGACCCGCAATCGAATAAGACGCTTACGGAACAACAGAAATCAACTTGGCTTAACTCTTCTCCTCCACTTACCAACTTTCTCTTGCAGGAGTGGTCGTTCTCCCCCGTCGGCAAATTGTTTGCAGACAAAGCATTTAATAATGTAAGACTGCCCTAAGACTTCTTGCCGTTCTGTAATTACAAACGCGTCGGGAAAGGAGAGTCGCACGAGCACGAGCACCAGGACCAATAGGACCAACACCAAACCAAAGAGCAAGAAGAAGCCGAGAGTGCAAGGAAAAGGAAGAAGGACGAAGACCAACAAGTTGCCAACCCAATCAACCCAATCAACCCGAACTCAAACCCAAACCGATTCCCCGGAAGTGAAAGCAGCAAAACGGCAGCCGTGGATACCAACGCGCTGCGCAGCTCAGCCACTGTGAAAGTGACGTCGGCGCCGCTGACGACGCTGCCCCCCTCGACGACGACGACGACGCCCCTGACAATTTGTCAGCCGCCCCCGCCCACTCCGCCCTACCAGCGGCTAACCAAAGCGCTGCAATGCGATCCCCGTTGCGGTCACGAGGTGAGTGCAAATTGAAATGCCTGTGGCGGCCAAATCCGACGGGGGGCCACCCAGCAACCCAACCACCCTACCACCCAACCACCCAACTTTTGTGCCCACCTGTAAGTTCAGGCGTTCTTTGAGTCGCCGCGATGGCTCGGTTAATGCCAATTACCTCCGCCATTAGTCACGGCACTCCTCGGCTGTCCAATACTTTAAACAAGTTTGTAGTAAAGTGAAGATTTAAACATCCTTTGCGTGATTAAACTCCTTATTGCAGAACATTTTTAATATTTTAGCACCTTAAGGTCCATAACTTTTTAATTTACAGTCCGATCTTAACGTGTCATTCCTCTAAAAGTTTATTTTTCTATTGTGGAAACAACTGCATCAAAACTTGGAATCCCAATTTTTTGTAAATTTTTTTGATATTTTTATCATGCAACCCCTTGCATAAATCCAAAAAATGGAGGTGCTCAAAAATTCCAAGGAATTGGCACTTCTTAGCTCATAACTTTTTTATTTGTTGACCGATTTGGATATGGCATACCCTCTTAATAATTGTGAACTAATAAAACACCAATCAACAACAAAATGTTTAGCTTTTTAAGTTAGTAAAACTGTTTCTTAATATATTGATAAATATAAATATTAAAAAAAAAGTGACAAAAGCCAGCACCTTCTCGCCCATAACCGTTCTACACTTTGATAATTCTGCCTTCCTAAACATCCGTGGCGTAAAACAAATTTCCTTCGGCATCCTTTGTGGCGTCGCATCCGTTAGGGCTGCAAATTGTTATGGCAGGATTTATCTGCGCATTGTGTCATGAACCTATTGTGCCAGATTTGCGCGTCCTTGCGCATGATGAATTGTATCTCATATACAAGTAGGTCTGAATGCAACCTGTTTGGCGGCAAACAAAAAATAGGGCTTACCTCTGCTGCTTTGACGTCACGTTGAAAACCAGCGCCAGGTTATTGTCGCTTGTTGTTTTTGGGCCATGTTCCGTGTGGGTGTGCCCTGCTTGTGTGTCTGTGTGTTGGTATTTGTGTGTTAGCTAATACACAAACCCTCTGCCGCAGCGCTGCAATTATGTAGGGGTTCAAGGCTAATTTGCTTGTGCAGCATTGCTGTTCTCAGGTTGTACACTGCAAAATATACTCCAAAATATATTTTAAAAAAATCCAACAGTTAAGGAATGCTAGGTTATAGCCGTATACTATTTATTGAAGCTTTTGTGTTCCTTTAGGTAAAAAGAAAAGCAAGCCATAAAAATATGAAATATTTTTGTATTATTTAATTAGATATTTTTGCAGTGCTCTTGAGGATTTGTTGTCTTTCCGTGAGCTCATTCACCGCCTATTTGAGGCTTGCGTTGCAGAATGCGCGTGTGACTGAATGCCAGCTATCCGCATTACGTATACGCCGCGTTGCGTTGCGTTTGCCCGTTTCTTAATTAACGCCCGCCCTTCTCTCTCACCCTCGATGGCTCAAAAGGTGGATTAAGGTGGAATAAAAACACACAGAAAGCCAGGAGGTGAAAGGAACGACGAGCAACAAGCAAACGCAGCTGCAGAAAGCGGCCACGTCAAGTGCAGCGCACAGTTCAAATTACATTAACAAAAACACAAAAATGTGTACCGCACTTGACCTTGGCTAATTGCAAGAGCAGCCATTTCTGGGCGGAAGGTTTCGGGGGTGCGAGTGCATAAATTACGGCCAGCGCGTTTTTGTGGCCGGAATGGGCGCAGTCAATGTTAATTGCTAGAACATGTGTACATTGAAGTATCAAGTAATCGCTGCCTCGGATTACTTAACCTTAAGGTGGGCCTTGTCCCTGAGAGAAATCCACGGGAAATGCCTTAAATTTTGACATGATTTTGATGAAAACGGTGGTTAAAACTGCATTAAGAGGGCATGAGGAAATTGGGAACTTTCTTTTGGTAGCTTAAACAAGAGCAAAGAAAAAAAAACATAAAAGTTAGGTCTTAATTTTTTTTATTCTTAACGTAATCCATTTTATTTACAGGGTAATTTATGTTTTTATTTTATAAAATCGTTTATATATTTTTCCTGCTATAGGTAACCATCGGCCGTCGCATTGGCCTCTACAGATTTTGTGGCGACATCGGACGCGGCAACTTCTCCAAAGTGAAGCTCGCTGTCCACCAGCTAACGCGTGGTAAGAAAATGCGTAAAGGACCTTATCCCGATCGGTAATTAATGGACAAATTTGCAGACAAAGTGGCCATTAAGGTGGTGGATCTAGATCGGGCCGGACTCGATGCCAAGGCTCTGCGAATGCTGTCCAGCGAAATAGCCACTCTCGAGTGTGTTCATCATCCAAATATACTGAGGTAGAAGGGGATTCCCTTTAAAATATGCTGGGTCTATATTCCTGAAATTTATTGCAGGCTTTTCGAGGTGGTTGAGACCCTGGGGCGGGTCTATCTGGTCACGGAGTGGATTCGCGGTGGCGAGCTATACAACCACATCACCCAAGGCGGTCCTTTGAGGGAGATTCATGCGGCTCCCTTGCTGAAACAGCTCCTGCTGGCTGTCAAACATATGGTGAGCCGTCGTGTTTGTACTTCGGAAACATGCAAATGAATTGTGGCGAACATAATTCAATTGTATCTCGGCTGAAAATCAATATAAATCATTTGGGAATAATTCATTTTAAAGCTTCATTTGGCAGAGAGATTCATGGTTTCTTTATTATTCATTTGCATGTGCTGTATTTATATTTAATTAATTTTCACTGGCATTGTTTGAGGCTTTCTGAGATATTAATTGTACGCTTATTTATTGAACCCACAGCATAGTTTGGGCTACGTGCATCGGGACATCAAGGCGGAGAATGTCCTGCTCCTCTCGGAGGATCGCCTGAAGCTGGCCGATTTCGGTTTCAGCACCCAACTTATCAATGGTGCGGTCGACAACCCTTCAACCCTTCCTATTCCATCAGCAAACTAATCAATTTCCATTCCCTTTGACAGGTGCCAATCAAAAGCTCGACACGTTCTGCGGCTCGCCTCCGTATGCGGCGCCCGAGCTCTTCTCCGACGACCACTACATCGGCGCCCCCGTGGACGTGTGGGCCCTGGGCATCCTGCTCTACTTCATGGTCGTCGGCAACATGCCCTTCCGGGCGCCCACAATTCCCGGCCTGAAGGCGGCCATTCTCAAGGGCGACTATCTGCTGCCCGGCCAGCTCAGTTTGCCCTGCATAAGACTTATACGTAAGTTTTTAATTGTTTTTTGCTTTAAATGTTTAAAAATTATATTAACAACTAATTAAAAATAACATAAAATATGTTTTTAAGTCTCTACAGTTTTTATTTTAATTTTAATGACTTAAATCCCTTTTGTATTCCATTCCAGAACGCATCTTGATCCACATACCCGTCCAGCGGCCCACCATAGATGACATGCTAAATAGCCAGTTTATAACCTGTCCCAAACTGAGTGCGGATCTGATGCAGTGGGAGATCAACCAGCACAGCAAGCCAGTGAAGCGATCCATCTTTTGGGTGCGCAGCAAGTCCCATCGGCTGAGGAAGTCCGCCTCCCTGAGGGATCGATACGCGGAGGTGGTCAAGAAGCCGGCCATAAGCATGAACACGCGACAGCAGGACGAGATGTTCGTGCATAACTTCCTGCAGCCGATCGAGGTTGGCCACGAACTGATGCTCCAGGGATCGGGTCAGCTGAAGGAGCCACAGTCCACCGAGAACGCCAAGCGTCCGACCAGAAGGTACATGTTGTGCGGAAGTCTCAAGAAGAAGGTCACTCCGATGGAAACGGAGCCGGAGAAGCAGTTGGCCAACGGCGGACAGTGCGGATCGGCCAAGATCAATCCGTGGAATGTGGAGGTGGCCGACGATTGTCCGCTGTTCAAGAACTACGATGCGGAGACGGGCAGTTGCATCATGTTGCCCACGAACACCGAGGATCTCAGCCAACTGGGAGCCCTGGAGTTCGAGGCCAGGCAAATACTCGCCGAACTGGGACTCTCCTCCGAGATGCTGATCAACGCCAGGCAGAGTGGACCCCGTTCCGACATCATTGGCGCCTACAGGATCGTGGTCAATCGGCTGCAGAAGCAATCCTGGCTGGCAAGGAAACACGTCGAGATGGCCCTGCACAGCGAGCCAAAGGTTGAGAAACGGGTTGATAGATCGTGCTGCATACTCTAAGACATCCGCGAATAGTTGTTGAACGTTTATATTACTCTCCTCGTTCTGGTGGATCCGTAGGTTTCCCCAGAGAGAAAGGCAAACTTGGGTTTCGGTGGCATTTAGCCAGGAATATGGGTCACTCAATACCCCTTCTTTGGAAAACGAATGCCGCGGTTCAAAGAACTTTAAGCTTGAGCCCCGCAAATCAGGTTTACCAAAAAGTAGCTCAAAGATCTGCTCGACAAGCGTAGTTTAAACCAGCTTTTCCAAAAGGATCCCAGTTGTAATGGCAGTCTCCCTCTTTCGTTCACACCGATGGTTGAAAATATGTAGATTTTAAAACTACAGATTAGTGATACCAAATGAAATTAGAAATTTATTTTGTGAATATTAAAACCAATTGGGAAAAATTCATTTAAGAACTAAATATTTAACTAGAGAAGTTGAAATATTGGAACTTAAAAACATAGATGGTTGAAACTTCTAATTAAAAAACAAAGGATAGAAAGGGAAGTAGAATAAAAACAGGAAGAGCTCCCAGAAGATATTTAACTGAGCGGCCAAAATAAATCAGATGGTTTGGAAAATCTGAGTTTGCCTTTCTGTGGGGTTCAAGCCGGTAGATCACAGGACAAGCCCAATTGCCCAATTAGTGTCAATTTGCCATCTGCATAGGCGCGAGTTTGTTGTTACCGTAGATTCCTACATTCTTTCCTTGGTTACTCATTCGAGAAAGTTCCTTATTTCGCGTAGCCTCAGTTTGTCCAGCCGTCGAGTCCATAGCGAGACGGATAGCAAAGTTGATATATACATATATATAGAGATATATACATATAGTCCAAGTATTATGTATTTAGTTGTTGGTCCATTTTTGAGCATATACAGACGAATATACGAAACGAATATGAATATTATGAATACAAACATATAAATACACACTTGGCTAAGGCGATCGATCTCATCGAGTCTTCAATGTACAACGTTGCATAAAAATGTTTAATTGATCATCAAAAAGCGAGTGTGTTTTTTGTCTGTAAGTGTCACTCTGTGTGTGTGTTTTTTGCCAAATTGTCTCCCGTGGAGTCAATCGCGTACAATAAAGCAGCATTATGAATCGCTAAGAATCGCATTCGTACAAATCGTAAACATACTAAAACCTAAATCTCAACCACTCGTCTAATTATGCACTTTAGCCTTAGTTTATTGCATTCGCAGCATCCACAGGGGGCTCGTCTTCCCGCCCACCGCTGCTCCTCATCCTCCTCCTCGTCGGCTGCTCCACTTTCGCCTGGTTGGACTCCGTCGGCTGTCGTGCGACGCAGGCGCTCCACCGACGAGCCTCTCAGAAGGCGGCACTCTCACTGGGTTTCTTGCCGCTGCAGCCGGCGTCGCTGTCTCTGCCGCTCTCTTCTGTAAAACGAAGTGAATTGATAAGGGGGTTTGAGTGGAATTGATAAGGGGATTGAGTGCAATGCAAGAGGAATTCAAAAGGGCAAGGGTTCACTCCAAACATAGAAAAATCTTTCTTTTAAATACTAGAAAAACGTAGGAAATCTTATCTAGAGTTTATTCCTTACCAACTATGGCAAACGAGTCCGAATCCGAGGTGCCCGCGGGCCAATCGATGTCCGGCATGGTGGGCCAGTCGATGTCCTCCGTTGTATCCCAATCCACAGCCCGTGTTTGGCTAATCTCGAAGAGAGCCGGCGAGCACAGGTTGAGGACCTCGTTCCTCAGCTTAGTAAGCAAGGACTCGAAACTTTCACTGGTCTTGCAAAGGAAACAAACCGCCAGCGAGGGATCCATGGCGGAGAAGCTCAAGCGAGCAGCATGCTTTTGATGGTAGGTCTCGTCGTAATCTTGTTCTCCCGCGGCGGTCTTCTGGCCCACCACTCCTGTTCTTTGTGTGGTGTGCGGATCCAGGTAGAGGACCTCGTCGTCCACATAGCCCAGAAAGTACAGAGCCTGATTGGGGCGACCGCCAATCATGCCACAACTGCTGTCCAGTTCAAGGCAGCGCTTCAGAGCTGGCACATATAGCGGGTTTATATCTGTGATGCCCAGTCTCAGTGGGATGATGAGGAGCAGTGGCTTCCAGGATTCGCCCTCCCGGCAGGAGGAGTCTAAGAAAAAGGATTTGCTCATAAGTAGGAAATATGTTGGGAAGAGTAAGTCCAAATCCACTTACATACGTCATCCAAGACTACTGTGCTATCCATGGCCACATGAACTGCCAGCGAGCTCCAGTCATCGAAGCGCACTAGTTTTCTGGAAATACCAAATGGATCTTGATTATCCTTCAAAAAAAGTCAAAAGGTTTGCTCTTACTTGAGAATTTGGGCCACTGTATTCGGTCCCAGCCACTCGCCCACCGCCTTGTTTTGGGATTCTCCCATAAGGGCTATCTGGTGTATAGAGTAGAAGCCATTTCTTACGTCTTCGAAACGATTTACGATCTTGAGGTAGGTGGCATCACGGCAATCCGACGTCCAGAACCAATCGCGACCCAAATGCAGGTCAATCAGAGCCTGGGCGAGGACCATCTGACCGCAGCGGAGCATGCAGCCCCAGCCTTTGTCCGAGGTGAGCTGTACCTCTCCCAGGGGAGAGAAACCATGTCGGTAGGTGCACCACAAACGGGATTGGATGTCCCTTCGGATAAGTTCGAGTTCTGGAAACATACAAGTTTGATAGTTTAAAACTCTGCTTGTGGAATATGCACAACAATCTTTGTTTAGTATTGTAATTTGTTATTTGTTATTTGTATTAGACCGATGAGGTCAGCTATATCTTCAAGTATAAACCAGTACAATAAAATTTGTACGGTATATTTACAGTGCAGATATCGGGGAATTCCTTCATTAAAAAAGGCTTAAAGCATGGAAAACCACGATGAGTCAAACAGTTACTAATGTTTTAGATTTAGGCCTGCATAATTTTTGACGATAAAAAACCAGTTATGTCTGTTAATAAATTACTTTGCGATTCAAAACCGCTTTTTCATATCGTTATACCAATATTCTCCCTAGAAGGGAATATACATATATCGGTTATTCTTACCCTGTATGGCATTGTACCGCCTTCCTAGGACCCAGACATCTGTGTTCCTACGCGGGATGTCCTCAGGCTCCCCGCTGCCCACCGCTTGGCCCACGGCACTGGCAAGGGCGCTCTCGGGGCCCAAATACGCCTCGAAGACGCTCTCCATAATCCGCGCTAGCTGATCGCTGAGCCCAACCAGCATCTACCGCCCGCCGGGAGGACGAGGACGTGGACACCAGGACACCAGAAGACTAGGAACAACGCCTCCGTTTTAGGTTCTGCGGGTTAATTGCCTCCCAATGACGTTCCGTTTTTTTCTTCGGCTGGCTGTGGCCTTTGTTTTGGGGCTTTGTTTTCGCTGGTAGCAATGCTCCTGCTTCGGACCGAGGTCACAAGGTCACAGTGGTGGCATTGGTTGTTGGCAGTGACTGGCGCTGATTACAAACTAAGCGAGAAGTAACTTTTAATCAGTCTGCGAAGCGTTTAGTTTGGTTTATTTTCGTTTTTTTGTTGATTACAACGATAACAGCAGTGACGTAGCTGTTAGTGTGACCGTAACTGGTGCGCCCATAAATATGGAAATTCGTGGTCACCCTTAACATAGGAATAACATTGCGGATAACGGTAATTTAAAACAATTGTAACTTTAAATTTTTGAAAACATTTTTATTTACTTCAACAAATCAGAATCAGAATTAATGCTTAAAAACTTTAAAATTGCACAATATTTTCACTACCCCACTTTTAGTGCGCAGAATTTGTTATTCAAGTCGAAGAAATCGTCTTCTGGATCTGCATCCTTGACCATCTCCGCGTTAGGATCTGCATTTGACTCCTTTGCCTCCGCTTTCCTAGTCGCCTGACGTTGTTTTTTCAGACGCTTCTTTTGCTGTGCCTTCACCGCCGATTGATCCACCTCCAAGCGCTTCCAATGTGGAATAAACTCAGCACACCAGTCGTACAAGTAGCAATAGAAATCGAACATTAAAGTAGAGTCCGGTAGCAGAAAGTTCTCTACATGATACCGGACATCCGCGCGATTTCTCAGCAGATCATACATATTATAGAGAAAGGCACCACAATATAGCTGATTCATTCGAGGGCTTAGCAGCGGGAAATCGAGAAGTGAGTTCAGTCCATTGAGTTGATACACCACAGCCTGAAACTCTGCAAATGCGTGAATTACCGTTGTTGAATACAAGTCGAATTTCTTCTTGAAGATCTCCTGCATGTGAAAATGCGGCAGCAGGCGTTCCTGAGTTAAAAAGCAATCCGATTTCGGTACATGTTCCATGCGATCTGGTATTGAAAGTTCCAGGAGAGCGGGCTTAATGCCACGTTTGATGCCCTCGGCTGCATCTTTATCTCTTACTGCTCGTTCTGCCTTCAATGTCTTGCCAAATCTCTTGCGGAAAGCTTTAACTTCTCTCTCAGCCGGGATTTTAACATCTATGGTTCGCAGCACAACCAAACCGATGATCAGGGAGTGAAGGTGCAGCAAATCACAGTGCTCTGATCGATGCAACCAATAAATAATGGCCAGAAAGTATAATCTCAGATCCTCCGGCAGCTCCGCCAACTTTGTGAACAGCTTTTCCGTATCCGCATGCGGAACGTAGGCTTGAAATATAGCTCTTAAATGTCTGGGATCCGGTGAGGATGGTTCAAACGCAAAAGCAGGCTCCTTCTCAATGGGCATTTTGAAATACCTCACATTAGTCACTCGGAGAGCTCTCGTGAGATAGGTAAACTCGATGGGGACGAGCTTGCCTTCCTTATCTACTTGCGGCTCCGTTTTGGCACCCTCCACATGATGGAGAAGGGAGAACACGTAGTTTAGGATGGGCAGGGCCAGTTCATTAGAGTCGTGGAAGGGAAAGTGCTCAATCTGCGGGTTGTTGATGTATTTACGCAGGTGCATGAGGTCCACAAAGAAGCGAGATAGGTGGGCCGGGTACAGTTTGTCTAAAAACCATTGCGGAAAGAGTAGGGTCTTATCTTCCACCTCGACTTCATCCGTTTCCTCTTCTTCCTCGACATCTTCTTCCGACTCAGCCTCTTGATTTTCAGCTTGTTCTTCCTCCTCCTGGTTTTCAGCTTCTTCCTGATCCTCGTCCTCTACGGCTTCTAGTTGGTTTTCAACCAAACTAGCAGAATCCTCATCACTTTCTTCGCCTTCACTGGCGTGTTCAATATAGGGAAAGGCATTCTCGTAGTGCTCCTCAAAAAAATTATAGGCATGGCACAACTCATTTGAGTAGCCAGAAATTGCTGCATTCACCTGGGACACAAGCGATTCCCTCTGGTTCTACAATTATATTTGTAATTAATATAAAGTAATAGTGAATTTGCAATAAGCATACCTTTTTCAGCCTGGACAAAACTTTATCCAAAGCCGTTTCCGATGTTTCTTCCTTTAGCCAGGTGAGTATCACCTGAATGCGTTTTTGCTGCAATTTCAGCTTACGACTCCTTCCTGCTTTTCCCAATCCTGAGGCAAAGAAGTTTTTGAAGGCACTGCGGGCTATATAATCGTTGCCCAGAAGAGCGGCAAAAAGAGGCAGTTTCTCTGGACTGAGAGTGCCTCGACCGCACAGGTGCGACACTCGATAAATGCAGCAGTCGAGGTACTTGTAAGTCTTGGTAATTTCTTTAGGGGCAGCTGCCTGCTCTGAGGTCTGAATGCCATTCACAATTTTATTAGCCTTGGTGCGCTTCTCCACATTTTTGGCTTCATTTTTACGCAAGTCGCGGGAGTCCTTCTGTTTGTGGTTGTTCTTGGCCTTTACTTGTTTGGTGAGCACCTAGAAAAGGGAAATCTTAAGCGAATGTTGAGTTGATTCATAATTTAATAAATACCTTCACAGTCAGTGTGATCAGAGGTATGTACTTCACATTGTGGATATAGAAATCCGAGTCGTAGGACAGCACTGGGCAGTTGAGTTTCCTGGCTAAGGCTGCCAGCTCATCGTCCGCCTCAAAGACGCATCGCATCACTGGAACTCCGCAATCTCGCACTGCATCCACAAAAACTTCTTTGAGGTGCAGCGGAAACAGAGTAATCGACGCATTCGGATTGATCTTCTTGATCACGGATATCTTGTTTCTCAATCGAGTGCCCACTGTCTGTAGCTTGCGCTCCTCGTATCCTCCGTCCATTAGGACATACGGGCGGATGTTGCACTCGGCCAGGACCTGAAAGAACTGCACCACAGCCCGGTAGAAGTCATCGTAATCCCCTCCAAAGGCAGAGTAACTCCCGGCGACATCCTTGTACAGATTACACGACAGGTTGTCGCCATCGATGACCAGGGCTGTGGAGTAGAGTTCATAGGGCTTCAGATAGATCTCCGCACGCTGAGCTATATAACTAGTAAGGCCACGAACTCCCATTTTCCCGGCACTTGTTGCCTAGCTGCAAGTTTTGTTTATTTTCGACTCGAAATGCAAACGCGTGCTAATGATAGTGTTGGAAAACACAAACATCTTTACTATTTGCTGCAAATAAGAATTATTTTTGAGTTATTCGAAATGAAAAATAAATTATGAACTTGGAAAATAAAGCCAAGATAATTACTTATTTGATTTTAACATAAATAAATAACTTGTTTTTTTAAAAGAACAAAAAATTATTCGCCTTTCCTGAATGAAGAGTGATCCGACTAAGAATGGTGGGTGCACTCGCTAAATGTAAAGGACAATGCCCTCATAGCCTAAGTTCAGTATTTTTTAGGGAATACACAGTTGGTCGAGAGACTAAGAATGAGGCGTTTCAACTTCTGGTCACACTGAGTTTGAGGAAAAAATCGTAACGGTTGGGAGCGGAGCGCGGAGTTTCGCTTTTCAGTGTTTTGTAGGCTGACAAAAGTGAGGAGTTAAATTTACTAAACAAATCGTTTGGGTGGCTTTGCCTCTGTCTACAATTTCAACCCAACGCTTGTCGCGCATCGAAAAAACGTAACATCGCGAGAGCTACGAAAAGCCATTGTGTGGCCGTCACAGGAAAATTCGGCAACAGCAATTGAAAACACTACGAAACTTCGAAAATTAGCCGAAATAAAAACACAGAGTGCAGTTAAAATCGCCATTGAATCGCCGAGCGCGTGCATATATACGGGTTCCGTTGGTTTCGTTCCGTTTCTTGTCGCTTTTTTCTTGCACACACTTTACCACTTTACCTTTGCGTCTCTCGTTCCGTTGCGTGAGTGTGTGGTGTGCGTGCGTGTGTGTTGTTTTTGTGTGTTTGTTAACTAAAGCACAGGTAGAAAAAAGAAAAGAAAACCATGGGCGAAATATGAATATGAAATTAAGTAAATATAAAACAAAAGCAACAGAAACATCCAGTTGAAACAACAACACACTCATTTTTCCCGTCGTGTTTTAATAACTTTGTGCGTCTTTCGCATTCATTTCATATAGTATTATTTTTCTCTTGGACTTTTCAACAACAGCAACATGAGTGAGAGAGAGCGAGAGCGAAAATCGTGATCACCGTGTCGTGAATGAATATTTGTCAGTGTGTGCGAAGCGTGCTCTACGCACACACACAAGTACGTAAACAACACACACAACAGTGATTGTGTGCGGCATTTAATAAATAATTGTGTGCAAATAAATGTTCCAAAAAGAAATCGTTAAACAACAGCCCAAAAAAACGTAAACCAAAAGTGCGAAAATTATTCTTCGACTAGATCAATCAGCGGTGCAAAAAAAATCTAAAACAAATAGTGTGTGCTTGTAGAAATCTTCTGGAGACTTGGAACGTCGAATTTTAATCATCTCGGTCTTTTCTTGGATACGGAACATCTACAAATATTTTCCTCTTTGCCGAAAAGGTGAGTGTAAATCAAAGGAAGTTCGCTTTCCCATTGGCCAAGGCCATTCCGGGAAATCTGCGAGCGGTCCTGCCCACGTTTCCTGTCTTCCGCACATTTTCACACGTCCTGCAATTGCAATTTTCTTGTTTTTCCTCTTTCTGCACTTCATATATTTGGTGATTCCCACGCCTCTCTTACTTTTAGGCAGGTATTCGCAGGTAGTCGCCGAGAAAAACCCTCGGGAAACCCAAAAATTTAGAGAATACCTCTGTTGGTGGGCCATGGAAAACCGAAAAAAAGAATTGAAATGTTTTCCCCGACCAAAGAAACAGCGAAAATTGAGCAAAATTAGGCACCCGCTGATTCCAGAAAATCGGTGGAATAATATGAACATCTCACTGGGAGAGAAATAAATCATCGTTATTATCATCTGCAGTTGCAATTTGGCACAATTTCGATATGACTGTGCTCCCATTTATTCGGTGATTATGTCATTTTCTCCAAGTGCTTGTGAATCAGGTTGATTTTCTTTACAGAAAGGGGCTGGTAGGGCACTAAATTCCGACGATCTGGCGACCGTCGACAGTTGCCAGCAATTTCCGGCGCTTTTTGGCAACTGGAAAATTGAGCACAAAAGTTCATCCCGGGGTTGGGAAGCAGCCGAATAAAAGGCGTAGCCCTCTGCCAAAAAATAAAATAGATTCCTCCGGTCACCCCGACCCAATGCATTTCCCAAAGTGGTTTATAGTTTTCCTACAGCTGTTGCGACTGCGATTTTTACGATTTATACTGGTAAACCGGGGAGGGCGGAATAAAAAGAAAGGCTCGACAAGTTGATACCGATCAAAAAACAAGATATTAATGGGATTTTCCCTCCCTATTTTTAACTATTAAAAAAAAATGTTAAAAAGTTTTAATTTAATTTTCCTAAAAAACAGTAAATTCTCATTGAATGCTAGGAAAACTATTTTCTAGTAACATCTTCCAACGATGTTTTTATTATACCCCCACTTACCCTATAATCACTGGGTACCATAAAAAGAGTTTGAATTTCAAATAAAATCCACTCTTTGACACTCACACACAAGAAAGACCATTGGGGAGCAGCTGCTGTTTGTCTCTTTGTGTTTGGGTCTCAAATGACACTTGCCAACGTTGCTGCAGCACATAATTCTGGATTCCGGAGAATTTCCTAGTAGGAAGTGCAGGGGCCACAGCAAAAACAACAGCAAGAGTCGCACTTGACGAGTGTCTTTCTATGGCTATTGCCATCCCACTCTGGAAATGTAAATAGAGAACCAGATAAAGCAGCGATCTCAAACTTCCTTTGCAGAAGTTTCATTTAACTGAGTTAGAATATAGGGGAAAAATCTTTGTGATAGCAATTTTGCAACCTATCACTTAACACTCAGCATATACTGCATGACTAATGGTTCGTGTAGGTGTTTCATCCTCTGGTTTATTTTTTTTTTTGCACTTGTCCCGTTCCCATTTCCTTGCTCGTACTCCAGTTATTTGCTGTAATTGAGCAATTAAACAATTGTCTCTGATTAAATGTGCAAATTTGTCTAATGTTCTGCACTGTGGGTATCTGCAAAACGGATGTGTCCGCTTAAAGCAGCGCTCAAATTGGCCGCGTAATTTGTCACTGATCTCACTTTCTCAATTGGCGATCTCTGTGATTTCTGTCTGGCCAATTACGTGTCATTTTCCACAGGCAGAGGTACCGTTACTTATTGCATCTAACGCCTAGCAAACGCAATAAAAACATTGCAACAGAGGGCCAGAATAAAAACAACGACTAGGGAAATAATTATGGGTGCTTACCTTTGCCCATCTAATGCTTCTTGACCTACAAGCGGCCTCTCGCATTTCCTGCCCATTTTCATTTACTGTTAATTATTGTTTAGACTCAGGCGATTCGGAAAAGCGGGGGAGGGGCCGAGGCAACATTGGCTAATAAAAGCTTGCAAACAATTTTAAATTTCCAAATTGTTTGAAATGCAGCCCAGCTGGCAACAGAAAAAAAGGCAGCCAAATCAACCTAAAAGAAACACGGCCATAACAACAATCTTGCTCACACATTCATAATAGGCTAGGCAAATGCGGTCAAGATGGCAGGTGTTTCGTGGAAAATTAAATACAATAATAATATGATTTATCCAGTGTTTGTTTGATAACTGAAATTTGTTAAAGTTGCATGTGTCTACAGATAATGCCTTGCTATTCATTTTCTTTTGCTTCTGTGTAAGTTTCCTATTTTTTTGACCCCGGCTGTACGCATATACACAGAAACAACAAATAAAGTAATTATTTCCTTTCACATGGCGAGCTACCTCCAAAATCGGAAAGACATAAAGAAGAATATAAAAAGCGAAGAAGCCTGAATACCCAAAAATAAAATCCAACAAAATCCGCTGTCGGCGTCGAGACTTTTGTTGTTGTTTTTCGCTGCAGCAGCTCCAACACGTGCAATTGGGAGCGGGTGAGAAAGAAGAGGAAAAGGAGCGAGAGCAAACTATTAATAAAGTAGTACCTATTAAGAAATGAGTGAGACGTATGCGAGTATTTTTGCATCGATCTCTCATTTGGCAAGAACGGAACTCGAAGTGATTGACATGTGTGTGAGTGAGTGGAGCCCATTGTGAATGAAACACACATCTGTGGGATCTATTGTGATTGATTCATGCAGAAAGAGATGACTAAATACGCTCTTGGCCCATTCCCATATCCGTTATGTGTGGCCACTCCTTTTGTCCAAATTTGGTTAACAGATTTGCCCGTTCTTTTGCCATTTAATTGATTCATCTACACCACAAGAAATACAAATATAAATCGATCACAAATGTCACCTTATTTCATTTGCTTTCGATTTGTGAATGAAAAGATTACGTGTGCTTTGATATTACTTTTTTTTCGCATCACGTGGATGTGGGTGCGACAACGCCGTCAACTTGAGTTGTAATTTCTCGTACGTATCTTTGTCCGTCCTTGTTTCTTGCTAATAAATCATGTAAGATTTGCATTATGTAGCCTTTGAATACCCTATAATCAGGAGGTTAAATTTGGGGAATTAAAAACCTGTACATCAAAACCATACATGCCCTATCAATCAATTTTTACGTTTCAATAGCTTGTTAAAAAATCATAACAATAAATTATATCATGATAAAGTATATTATATTACTCATAGGAAAAAACTAATAACAAAGGGTAATGCCAGATTCGATGCAATCTTTTCACTTCTTGTTCGATAGTTTTTGCCTATTTATGCAGCTACCGTGGGGCGCTTACGTCATTGGCCGGCTTCGTACATATTTGGCCATGTTTTACTGTTGTCAATTGGCTGCTATTTGTGGGCTAAATTTCTCGCTGGCGTCAACACAAAAATATTGAATGTAGGTAATGTAGCGCAGCAGCTCGGATTGAGTTGAGTCATTGCCAGCCCGCGGATTTTCTTTTTCTTGAGTTGTGAAATTATTCGAGTCCATCGGATGGGCAAGTACATTATGTAAATTCATTCAGGCGGCTGTTCTACACATTTTCTCAATTAATAATTGTGAACAAGCAGATGGAGGGGGAGATGGTGTTTACATATAGGACATATATCATTGCCAAGATCATCTATTGGCCTCTCTCTATCTGTTTCGCTCTAGCGACACATTTTGTCTAAGCAAAATCCGTTCGGCATTTATTCACTTTTCTTGGAAATACACTTTGGCTAAACATTTTCCATAATGCAATAAATTTTTACAAATTGCCCTGTTAATTGAAGATTAAAAGATCTCTCGCATCGATCTGTTTTATAGGGGCATGGACATTTGTTTTAATTTGCTTACGTGAATGTAGCATTCGGAATAAATTGAGCTACATCAATGAATGGAATAATGAGTAGGAATGGTTTTATGAAGTCAAGATCGATGGACCCTTTGTTTTTTTGGCCTTCCATGCGGTCAGTTTTGTGGTCTACTACGTCAGGTGATTAAAAAGTGTTTTGAAGAAATAATTGTAAAATAACTCAATTAGGAGGTCAAATAATAATTAGTGGATTGGTATGTTCCTCAGCATTAAAAGCATTTTGTGTAATTAATTTATTATACTTCTTTTCATGTGAAAATAATAAAACTTAGAACTTTTTTCAAAATTTGAACATGATTAATAGCAAAACATTTCGCAGACCATTGTTTTTAAAAATATTTCCCCGTGAGCAATGGGAAATAGTCATTATTAACCAGAGAAATCCATTCACCGGAATGGATCCCACTCATCATATCGTTAGCCAGTGCAAACAGCTGACTAACCCGGACGATCGGCTAGGGACCCCAACTATATAGACCCGGTTCCCAAATGCCTGCCTGTGGGTGGTGCAGCTTTTCATAGCCACCTACACTAACTCACTGCGCCAATATTTACACAACATTGATGGACATGTACAATATGTTTACCTACTTTGTAGGTGCTTCGGTTTCGGTGCCCCCTTGTTATGTGTACAAACATACCTCTATATAGATCTGGCTTATTTATTTATGTATTATTCTGCCGCTATTTATAACTGGCATACTAATTTGTAATTTGTTTAATGATTCACTTAGCGAACTTTATGAACTGTGGGAACTGGAGTTGTGGGGCCTAACGTAAGCCCCATCTATAGGGTTGTGCTGCAATCCAATCCATTGCAGCACCTGGTGTGTTGACCCACCTCGTTAGTCGCGATAAGATTATTTCCAAGAAGTCCATAAAGAATATTAGCTGTAATTTGTGTTTAGCATATCCCCGATCAATCAGCATTACCTGTTGTGGAGGAATATAACACAGACCGTTTCCATCTATTTTGGCTCTCCTTCCTCCGCATGGTGTAAACAATGAGTGGCTGGGATTCTCTGCCGCTTTAAATAAACAACACATTTCCATGGGCTACACAAAAAATTAATTCGCAATTTACTGATGAACATCTCTTTCCGACTTCTCGAATTGTCTCAACATTTTTGGGGGAAAATAGTACAGCCTTACGGTTCCCA